CGCGACCGGCGCGTACTACTACTACTACTAGTACTACTACTACTACTACTACTACTAGTCCTACTGCTACTGCTACTGCTACTGCCACTGCTACTGCTACTGCTACGACTACTGCTACTACACAATTGCCGTTTCTCCTCCTACTGCTGCTGTCACTGTCATGATCTGTTCATGCTCCTCCGCTGCTGCTGCTGCTGCTGTCGCTGCCGCTGCTACGTTCCCTTTTGTCAATGACAATTTGGCAAGTCTGGTCGAAACTTCTTCCGTGAGTTTACTACATCCTTTGTCGAGCTTGCACAAAGAAGGGAAATCGCGCTCAAGGGAAGAACAAGCGACGCCCAGCATGGCTGATCTGCATGATCGCCAAGCATCCATCTCCTTGGCTGTACTATCTGGCTTATCTACGATTTAGCCTTGCGGACAGCGGCCAGTTGTCTGGTTTCAAGACCTTGCTCATGATTTCCCTTCCTTTGAAGGATCTCCGGCTGTAAGGCCTGTCTGGGCAACGAAACAAGCAACAATCAGCTGGGCGCTGTTTGCTTGAGTCGAGGTTTGCGGTGGTGGGAAGGCCTGATCTCTGAGCCGGAAACGAAACGTTTCGCAGCTTCAGTTCGAGAACTTGTTCGGATAACTACGATCGTATGCGGCACCTGCTGGCCTTCGGCAGGGATCTGCGGCCTGCAACTCGGGGCTTCAACTTGCGAGAGCCTCCACCTCAAGGTGTAAAGATGAGTATTTCGCCTGTAGAGCCACCACTCTTTCTGATGCATCACGGTCGCTCTTTGAGGATGCTGCCCACTTCTGAAACATCTCCTCGGCCGGCTGCAACTGTTGGTACCCCACTACTCTACGTGCCAAACACTTAGACATTCGTTAACATCGGCTTTCAAGTTGAAAACTTGCCATACTTTCCAGAGGAAGGCTCCAGGGGCGTGTCTTTTTCCAGCGACACGTTTCGTGGAGCTTCCAGGTAACGTCTATCGACTTGGACATTTCCGCTGATGTTCATGCCCAAACCGCCGTCCGACCAAGCCTCGAGCCGAAGGGGTCTCCATGTCGACTACACCGCAAAACAAGTTCAGCATCAGGAAAGTTGTTAGCCAGACTGCCTTGTAGGCTTCCAGGTGCATGTCGTTGGGCAAGTTCGTGCTAGGATCAGCCATATGCTCCGTCATCGCCGCTTTACCTCAGCATGTACAGGCATTACGGCTAGAGTTCATGCTGGAGCCTGGGAGGCCAAGGACGTGGATTTACGGATTTACGGGCTTGCACAGTCGAATTTGGATGCGGGATGTCCGTGGTCGTGACAACAGGGTACCGTATCCTACTCCCCAAAGCCCAAGCAGAAACCAGTCCCTTGATGGTATTTGGGAGACATCTCCGGCGATCTAATTGGCAAGAGTTGCTGAGGCGGTTCTTCATTTTCACCCCATTGGGCAGCAAGAACTCAGTCGAGATCTGCGCCATGGCTGGAGGCAAAGGGGTGAGACTCGGCCTCACTGTGCCCGACTATGTCCTGGCCAACACATGTGCAAAAGGATTCTTTCAATCTGGCAATTTTGAGTTAAGGTTTACTGGGGTCGTTCTGGCTTCATGGCGGAAGCTTGATCTGCCTTGGCTCCGGGGCCAGCGTCCACACAAAAGGTGCTTCGCAAAGCCTGAGCTCTCGCCCTGACGTCGAATGGATTCTGAACTCTGACTAGGCAGCTCATCTGAATGCGTGGAGTGTCGAAGGTTTCGTCGTTTCAAGAAACGTCCATTGACCATCGAAGCGTCGCTTGTGTTTTCATCTTGAATCTTGAGTGTGGTCGAAGAGAAAAATTGATGCGTTGATCCAAAAGAGCGGAGGAGACAACTCTGGGGTTAGGGGTGGAGCAGCGATTGGTTCACGAAGGGAAAATGTGGGACACGGAGACTCTTCTCGAACTCAGGCGGCTTGGATATAGTATTTGTTGTTGCTCGATGTGAGGGTTTGGAACAATTCGAAGAGGATGGCAAACAGGTGTTTTTTGCCTTCATGCCCTCAAAGAACTTCCCTTCACCAAATCGGTGAAACATCGAATTAGTGATGACTCTGAGATGACAGCGGTTTGTTGTTCAGAACTGTCAGGCTGTTGGGCACAGCCCCAAGACCCTAAACCCCGTAAGCCTAAACAGCGAGCCCACATTCGAAGAGTTCAAGCGGCATGTAGCTTGAAGCTTCTCGTGGACCCGAAAGGCTGAAAAACCTCGCTGCCGCATAGCACGGCCCAACCTCGGGATTCAGCTGCGAGTGTTTGCTCTATTCAGATGAAGAAGAAGACTATGATGATGGTCATGATGACGGGTGACGACGGCGATGATGACGATGATGATGATGGTGATGATGATGGTGATGATGCCGATGAAGACGGTCACGACAATGACGTTGACGTTGGTGATGATGCTCATGTGTGCAGCGTGCGTCGTCGACTGGTGAATATGTTGTGAGCATCCGGACTGTTGCTTGTGTCATGCACTGAGGTAAACTGGACAGAAATCGGGCAATCCACACGGAACCACACTTGTTTCACAAGGGACTCGACTGCTGCCCTTATACTGCCCACGGAATCACACTAGATCTACAGACCCGCCAGATATGCAGCAAGTCCGCGAGCGCCGACAACAGCAATTTGGTCCGTTACGCAGGCCTTGGCTCGCAGCCTTCCCATTGTTAAGTTACGACCTAGATAGCTAGGTCTTGGAACTCACCTAATTGCAAAGCCGACGCCTGCGACGACATAGTTAACAGGGAGTCCCGGAGTTTCGGGTGCCAAACATTGGGGGTCCGAAGGCTTTGGGGGGAGATAGCCTTCAACCCTTTATGAACACCAGACGGGAGGCAAGCTTGTCGTTCGAGAAATTCTGCTGCCAGCTGCATTTCTGTGGAGAAGTCCCATGCAGGACGCACTTCTGCAAGGACCTTCGCTGACTCAACGTGGGGAGGCAAGCGAGGGGTTTGGCCGCTTGGCAGCAGTTTTAGCCTGCGAACTGACCCCCCCTGAACCAAAACCGTTTTGAACCCAGACTCTGCCAATCAGCTGGGAAGGAGCACCCAAAACCGGAAACCCAAACCCTCCACCGCACTTTTGAGATGCCTCCAGCTGCGGAAGATCAAGGAACCCCGAGAGGACCTGACGGGCGCAGTTAAATTAGAAAGGAAGCGCCTAGAGTTTAGAGGACGTGCAATCGCTCGGTTGGGGTTGGTGGCAGAACAATTACATAGACCGGGGTGTTACACTAAAGATATGCATGGACAAGGTAAGGGAATTATGCTACAAATGTCTTAAACCCCTTACTATGGGACAGGTCGGGCTCGGGCGCCAGGGATCAGGGAATTTTTCGGGATGTGGATACTCTGCCTGGCGGGGTCCACCAAGCAGCCTTGCCACCCTACTTGGGTTCGGACTCCAGGGGTCGTGGGCTTTGCGGTTTGGGCAATTCTCCAGAAGGCTGGTTGAAATTGCGCGCTTTTTGCTGTTCAATATCTTTGGCTTGAAAAGCCCGCTGTGGAAGCTAACAGCTGCTGCTGTGGCAAGCTGATGTACACTGAAAACAGAAGTACAGGAAGAAGTAAGCCAAACGGAGCAGATTAGCACTGAGATGACAGGTGGTGGCCACGGCTGTGGTCAGGAGTTTGTTTGTCATCTGCGTAATCTGCAATCGGGGTTTCCCCTTTCAGAATCTCCCATCTTGCTGGAATCCTGCACGCGTTGCCCTGATGTAGCTTCACATGGCAAGTGAGGTCTCTGAAGGAGGAGAAGGTGATGTCGGCATCTTTTGTCTTTCACGGGGTTCGTGCGCCATGCAATGTCAAGAAGGGACCAAGGGGACCAAAGGCGACATATACCCGAGGGTCCACGTACTGAACGCTTCAAAAGGCCCCACACAGTTGGAGCATTTGGAGGTCTCTCCTCTTTGTTCAGAACTACGATAGCACGTACAAGCTTCTCCATAGACCAACTCGAGAAGCCCAAAAAGTTTTCCACTTTTTGGTGACCCTAAATCCAAAAAATACAGCATCCCAAGGATGCTCTATACACCCCAGAAAGACACCGACCCTCTCTCTGCCCCTTCGTCAATCCCTGAAGGAGCCTTGCAGGGGCCATGCGGAAGCCGTGACAGCAGCTGAACCGCCGATCCCTCGCGACGTAACCGTGCAGCGCGTCGGATGGCAATCCAAGCAGCCAGCAGCGCCCCGAGAGTAACGGCCAAGAGGCCGAGGAACGAAGCCCCGAGCCATGGCAGTCTCTGATGAGGGAAGCTGGAGGAATGGCTCTGTTCGCATGGCAGCTGCTTTCTTGGCCGAGGTTGCGATGCTTTGTTGGCAGATGGCTTGAAGGTGATTAAGGGCACTTTGGGTGGACAGCCAACAAGAGGTCCTGCCGAACAGCAGCGTGTGTCACCATGGTTCAAGGATGTCCACTAGTCCGCCTTGCCACCATATGCATTCAAGGGCGACGCTCATAAACTTAAGAAGACTGACGAGTAGAAACATCAAGAAACCATTATGAAGCCAGCAAGCGAACGAACGGTCTCGAGCTCAACATCGCACACACACACACACCCCACATTCAACATCAAAAGCGGACACTAGCATCACATTCTGGGTACATGTCTGGTGCCAAGACACAGCTGCTGGGGTCGCTCTGTCTGCAACAGAAGGCGACATAATGTCGCAAATTCCACCTAGGGCTTAGGGTGTATGGATTGCCACTTGGGTTCAGGTTGTAGTATATAAGGCGAATCTCATCCTTACGCGACTACACAGGCTGCGTTTAGAGTCTAGAGATTGATGACAACCGTGCCCATTCAATATCATCAAAACTTGCCCTGCATGACAATGGCTAAGTACGCGAACATCCATGAAGCACATGTTACCGAATCCCTGAAATCTAAGGATGGAGTTGTCCTCATGGCTCCGGATTCAATCTCCCCTAAACCCTAAAACCCTAAATCTTCGGGGGTATAAGGTTTGGGGTCAGGGCCTTGGGCCTAGGGTGGTTCAGCCTCGGATTCGGGACTCAGAGGCTTTGGGATCATTCTCGGTTCTGCGCCTCTGAATAGTCACTACTCATATCCGCCTGCTGTTTCTAGAGAATCATACGCTGAGATGATATACTATCTGATATACTAGTCTATGAAACAATATAAACCAAAAACCTATTCCGTGACAAGCCTAGCTGCATGAAGCACACGAGGGCGACCAGTCGATGTGTGCTTTGCAGACCAGAATCTGACAAACTCGACTGGCTGCTCGCGTGTGAAGCAGCCTCCGCTTTCAACGCGCCGAATATACGAGCGCTGTCAGTCAGAATAGGCAGAATAAATTTTCGGGGCATCTTATACTCACTATGGTTCTGAGCTCTTAGCCTTGGGGCGACCGGCCGGGATCCCAGGGTGCTGACACTTGTTGCAGACGGACAGGAGAACTAGTATGCGTTTGAGTATCATATATATATATAATATACATGCGTACATACCTTTATCCTATATCGCAGATTGTTGAATCGGACTTTTTGGGTCTTGCTGGCGCTTTGAGAAACCCTGCCTCCGAACCACGGGGCACCCACATGTCTGCCAAGAGCTGGCACTCTTCTGCAGTGGGCGTGGGCAAAGTCAGGTCCTGGGCATTACACGGTGCATTGACACACTAATTTTCCGGAAGCCCTAAACAGCCCTAAGCCGTCGACTTAGGTTTACGATGTGGCCTACTTAGGTTTGGTCGCAGCACTCAGGACTCGGACGCTATTCGGATGCAGCCATGCAAACTGTACACCCATCTCTCCAGACGACTGAATAGCACGCATCCTACTTGGCGGCATTGGGCTCTGCATCCACGTTCACGTTGTTCAAGGATTCGCGCTTCTGGGAAGGCTGGTTCTCACAGAGTTAAGGGTGAAGTTTGCTGTCCAGAACTTTCTCGGTATCATAACAGACGGAGGATGCATTTCTCAAAAGCTCACTAGCTTCCCCAAGAATCATCGGATAATCGTTCCATCCGCGAGCCTGTCTTTGGTCCTTCGTACACTGGATTCACAATCCATCCGTTCGGCCCGTGGGGGGAGCGCCGATACTTCTGTAGCACTAAATTGGCCCTCTTTGTTGAGTGCCGATGTTTATGATGTACCACGGCTACAGCAACTCGCATCTGTGCGGATGTTGGACAAGCGGCCACGGCTATCAGGGGAGAGTTCGCGACTTGCCACTCCTCAATGCCGTTTTGTCGTCGGCAGCACAGAATAGGGCAGCACAGAATAGGGATCTTCTTCCTGCGGGGATTACCACCTGAGTCTTTCTTTCGTCAAGGCTCCTAGTAGGATCTTCAATGCCAACTCGCATTGCAAGTGAATGGTCTGGGCATGTCTGGGCGGGTGCATGGCCTAGGATCCCAAGGCCAAGCAAAACCTGCAGTAACTGGTAAGAAGATGTTGGAGTGTCTTGCCCTGTGCAGGAAGTGTGTCAACTTGCTGGCCCCATTCATGCCTCAACGTTGTATCTTGTGAACTCAACACAAGATGGGCTGTGTTGTTGGCTTTGAAGTTTCAGCACTCGCTCTCGGACAACCCAGGAGGTTCGCGCGAACAGTCGCAGCAATCGCACACCAGGACGTGCCATAGCAACTTGCTCTTAAAATGTGCTTGTGCGGGGACCTTTTGGAGATTAGCGTTTTGCGGCAGCATCTCCTTTATCCTCGCAAGGGTTCCATGCGATGAAACAAATCGTCCATTGAGGTTCGTCACGGGTGCCAGCCTTCTCAGTACGAACATTCATCATGCCCATTCCCGCGGCACCCAACCCTGTGCACTCAATGGCTTCTCTACGGCCCGCTCCCGGCTTCAGACGAGCCTGGGCAAGCACCGCAGCATCTGCCGGCCCAGGCAAGTCGCCCGAGGCTGAGCCACAAAGGGGCACCAAGACTATCCTGACAGAGCCGGGTTTAGAGTGCTGGGTTATAGATGGATAATTTACCGTGGCCTACTCGAAATGTAGGGTTTCGAAATGATAATGTAGCTCCAGGCAGGCCTCTAGGAGCCTAGATTAGGAGCTCATGACAAGCAATGACGAGCGCCGGGAAAGGGCTGCTGGCCTCCTAGAAGGCTGTCTGAGGCCAGCTGCCGAAATTTATTTGTGCCATGCCATGTCCGCTAATTGCCGCTAGTTATTTCCATGAACCGTACTTCCCGCAACATGTACAGGTTGACTACTAGTCCTCATGCAGCAGCCACGCTAAATCCAAAACGTCTTCACCATGTCCCTTCGCGTTTGTTTGTCACTTTTAGACCGACCAAGCTACCGATCGGCGATGGCCACGGCTTCTGGGCTGCCGGACGAGGAAAGCTCGTCCTGCCGCACTACGACTTGAGGACAATCACCCAAAAACCCTACACCTACCCTCACTCCCAAAACTCTATCTGCCCCGGCCTCCCCACCAAACAAAGTGCTGACCACCCCTGAGGCTGTATTATTAGCTACCCAAGAACTTCTACAATTTGGAACCGATGCCCAGAACTCAGGCGCCTATCGAGCTTGGGCTACCGAAGCTCCTGCGGTTGGTACGAGGTTGCAACGTATCAGTCTCAAACCCGTCCTTTGACTGTGCTTATGCTTACCTGCGCTCTTTCGCCTGTCATAATCAGACTGACCATAGCCGGCTCGCCTGCAAGCAGGTCTTTCCCTAACGTGAGAGCCTGCATGAACTAGCCTTGGCAGCCAAAAATCATGCAAGAAGGACGTGACAGGAGTGGAACGACCTCTTCTGAGCCTGACCCTCAAACAAGAAGCTCGAATCCTACCCTAAAGATCCTCAGCCCAAAGCCCTCGACCCAAGCCTGGATGCGGGCAAGTGCTTCGGACATATCTCCATAGCCTGTGCTATCGAACTGAGCGTGGGCTGAAGGTGTAGTCGGCATAGTCTAATTACAGCAGTCCGTTCTGCACGATCTTGAAGAGGTGTTAGGGGTTGGGTTGGCGGTTGAAGACTTCTAATTACAGCCTTCCGTTCTGCACCATCTTGAAGAGGTGGTAGGGTTTGGCTTGGTGGCTGAAGACTTCTTAACGCGATGAGGAAGTTAGGTCTTTGATCCGTGGGCGGCAGGCGTGGCGCCAGAACGGTGCAACGCTTTAGTTCCGCGCTGGCGGACATGGGCTCTGCGGAAGTACACTGAATTCTCAAGGCCACTTATCAACTCAATCCACACGGCTGTTCCGAGTTGGATGGAAGTCGGCACGAGGCCGGTTCGGCAAAGGGCTAGGGCTCTTGGATCCGACATTTAGCTTCGTTGTGCTGTTGCTTTCAGGCGAACCACCATTTCCACTGCTACGCGCGCAGTTCTCGGTTTGTTGCTGGCTGTATCAAACAATATTAATTACCTAGCATTGTTACTTCCCCGGCTGCTTGTGCTACCGCCAGTGTCACTGCCACCGCCCTCGCCACGGCCACAACTAAGGCAACGTCTACTGCTGCCACCACCACCACCACCAACAACAACAACAACAACTGCTACCGCTGCTACTGCTACCCCACCTGCTGCGACTACCACGACTACTACGATGATGACGCCCGCTGCTGAATACTACGTTATCTGCCACCACCATGACGATGACAAGGACGACTACTGCTACCGTGACTTCTACTTTAGAACTGCACACGATTGCTGTGTATACTTCTTTTGTTTACCGTCTGTCAGACATAAGCCAATGCTTTTCGAGCTGTCGGTTTGTGTTCGCATGATTGAAGGCCAGAGGAGGCAAACAAAGACTCGCGTCTGCTGGGGTAGAGTTGGAGACTGGTCCAAGGTTCGGGATCTCCTGCCGGGGTTATGGTTGTGGTCTGGAGATTGTACCGGGGTTGCCGATGCTAACGGAAACATCCTCGGCCTCATGAAGGCCTGCGGTGTATATGCATTGCTACCAACCATAGGAGACCACCTCATATGCAGACAGCATGGCACCTTCACCGAACGCCTCGGCGAGACCTGCGTGAGACAGGGCACTCAAGGCTTCGAGGAGACCGAAGGAAAGAACAATACTAAGACGAAGCGCTACGTGCACTAATAAGGGATCATGGGGTTTACATAGCAAGTACTTTTTACAGGAAACCTCCAAACGAGAATTCCCGAGAACGCGGATCACGGATGACTGAAATGGCCCTCGACTTCAGAATCCATCTCGGGATGCTGCAAAGGAGATCCCTCATGATTGCAAGGGTTGCCATGTTGGTGACATGGACCTGACCACAAAGGACACAAGTTGTGTTCTCAGGAAAAACGTGTTCTCAGCCCCTAGCAGCACAAGCACCTGTCTCGCCGGTTCCCCCATCAGGCCCAGCATAGAAATTTCGCAAGGCCCAAACGTCGCCGGTGCCTTCCGCGGGTACCAGCGACGCCTGGCTCGGCTGTCCTTCAGCTTGACCCTCGCCTCGGCTAGACGGGGATAACATGATAGCGAACTAGAATTACTAAAATATGCCTCGCAGACTATGCCAATGAATCAGCCGTCACGTGCAATACCAAAGCCTCTGCGCGTCTACTACTAGTCATACATCCATGGGAGTGTAAGCCGTTGCATAGGCCACTGGGCTCCCAAATAAGAATTAGTATGCACACACACACACACCATGTCGGACAAGTTAATGAGCGTATGCCGCTTTTAGGCTCAGGGGCCCTAACCAGCCCCTGACCTGCTCTGAATCCCATATCCGAAAAGCACACCTTCACCACTTACTCAGAGAAGCTTCTCAACAAGACTTATACCCTCAGTTTCAACAGTTATGATTATGACGGATGCAATTACCACTATGCAGTATTCTTCTAATGATGATGCTCGCTAGTTTTTTTATTATTCGCAATGATGATACATGTTTTGTGTTGCTGCCGTTGCAGTTGTTGTTGTCGTCGTCGCCGTCGTTGTCGTCATCGTCGTCGTGGTTGTTGTTCGTCGTCGACGTGGTTGTTGTTGTTGTTGTTGTTGCTTTTTGTTGTTGCTGCTGCTGCTGATGATGTTGTTGCTGCCGTCAGGCTGCTGCTGTTGTTGTTGTTGTTGCTGCTGCTAGTGTTTTTGTTCCTCTTGATGTTTCTGTTTTCTGTTGCTGTTGCTGCACAAAAAATTTCGTGCACCTTGACAGCTGGGCAAAATCCGGTCGTCAACATCCCGATGATCAATCCTGAGACCTCAGCCTTTCCCCACCAAGGGTGCACCCCATCAAGTCCAAACACCCATATCCCTCGAGTGCTACCGTCAACCAAGATAGACAAAGATAATAACAGCTGAAACCTCCGGACCCATGAATCTCTACACCCAGAGGCCTCAACATCCCTCAACTCCAAAAGCTTTGCTCAAACCCAGAACTTCAAACTCCGTGCAATCTTAACAACTCAAGAACTGAAACACAGAAGGCCTCGTAAAATCCCCAAACCTCGGAAACCCTCCCTGTCCCCGAGGCCGGAATCCTGAAACCCGAGCCTCTCAAAAGCCCGAGGCAACCGAACTGACCGTCCAAAACCTCCTTTTTGCATCAGGACTTGTGCAATCGCCTGAAGGCCAGAGAAAACAAAACTTCCTAAACACGGAAGCCTCAAGGATCTCAAATAGCTCTTCTTCGGCGATGGTCGATTCAAACATCATCGTGTGATGGCTTTTAATATGTTGGGAACTATTCCGATCACAATTCTGTCTCCGGATTTTCTGGTCCTCGTACGCATTCTTGCCACAATGGTGTGCTCAGTGCTGCTACTGTCGTGACTGTCGTGTTCTTGTGGTCGTGGTGTTTTAGCAGCCGACCGCCAAGGCACCTGAGGTAGTCCCATAGTCAGCCCAGGTGGCCTCTTGCTTCCGCTTTAATTCCGGTTGGTGGTTTCTTGCTCAATTGGTCTTCGGAGTAGGTTCTCCGGGTGCAAGCTCTCTCAAGGTCTCCGAGTCAAGAGTTCTTTAAAGTTGTGGGACCCAGGGAACTAAACCCCAAACCCCAAACCAAGGTGCTGTGGATTTGAGCTTGAGGTTCACGGTCTTCCAAAGGCTTCCCAGCGGTTTCTCTAACAGGGGTAGTTTTGACTCGATATTTGCGGGATAGCGCGTTTCTTGGTTCAGTGAAAAACGGCCTCAGGAAGATTATGTTCAGGTTTTTTCAACACACATCAGGGCCCTGCCACGAACACATCCTGCAGAAGGACCAGAAGCTCGTGAAGAGAGGCATGAATGTGAACATTTTGTAGCTTGAAATCATGTCGACCACATGAAGTTCATGCAGACATGAAAAGCACGGGATTGGATACGAAAAAAGCAGAACCGACAGCACTGTAGAATTTCCACGTGCTCATCTTGAAAAATGGCGCACTGCCGGCCTTGGCTATATGTTGCGTTGTGACGGGCTTTCGGCACGGGAATCTTTGTCTTCCAACGTGCTCGGGTCGTTGGCACAGTGATTCGTCGGAAGACTTGACAGACTTGACAGCTCATCTTGAGTTGTTACGCTCAGATCCTGCGGACCTGGCAGAAACCCGACCGAGTCGTATGCGGTGGGAGCTGCAGTTTCAGCACCGGCATGCGATAGGAGCGTGTGCTCAGCAGCTACACGATGCTTGCAAATATGTTTTTTTGCATGGAGCCCAACTATAAACTGTATAGACCACTGCTTCGGCAAGTTAGATCGTGCTTGGGCCTTTTGGCCACAGGCGGTTGCTGAAAAAGAAGGCGACAAGGACGTCATCATCCCCCCCCCCCCCACCCCCCTCCCCCCAAGCAACCAAACAGGCAAGCCTCAAAAACGGCACCAGAATAGAGCGCAGAAACCACTACGTCACTACGCATGTCTGCGCCGTTTCAGGGGGGAGAAGCAATGTACGAATGACACAATCATGTTCAGTTGTGATTGTCAAACGTATCGAATATGTCGTGCATGCCATGTTTTCCTGCAAGGCGTGAATGAACTTCAACAGCCCTGCTTCAACATCGCTCTTTAAAAAACCGTCGAAAATCGTCCCTGTTCCCGAACCTGCTTGCTGGGTTTTGGAGCTTCGGGAATTCAGAGCTTCTTTTGAGGGACTTGGGGGCCTAAGCCTAAGACCCGGCTCGAGGTCTCGTTGGGCTTCGGGCAAACCTTCCAGCTGCAGAATTGCCTGCCTGCGAATACTGTCATGCTGCGTCATGCTTCAAACGGGACCCCAGAAATGTGAAAAAAACGCTCCGCTAAACAACGCCCGCTTCAGTCGGACATGCGCTGAACCCTACCTGAGCCCTGGAAAAGACACACAACACGTCTCGTAGAGCCCGATCACGCCCCTTACAATCCCCACACTCCCTCCGGAATCCTGTTTTCAGCACCCCAACATCGCTATACAATGCTTGCA